TGCACTACTGTACTCCAGCCTGGGCCACTGAGTAAGACTCCATCTCAAAAAAAAAAAAGATGTATTTGGAACCTTACTTTACCATACTTTACCATATAAAAATTAACTCAAAATAAGTTATAGATTTAAAGTAAAGACAGTCCTAAAGAAAACATAGGAGAAAATATTTTTAACCTTGGGTTAGGCAGTGAGTTCTTAGATGCAATACCAAAAGCATACATGATGAAAGAGGGAAAAAAAAAGGTAAGTTGGACTTCATCAAAGTTAAAAGTTTATGCACTTCAAAAGATACCATCAAGAAAGTGAAAAGAAAGATAAGCCAAAGAGTTGAGGAAAATATTTGCAAATAATGTATCTGTTAAGGTGCTGATATCCAGAATATTTAAAGAACATCTAGAATTCAATAAAATGACAACCCAATTTTTTAAATGGGCAAAAGATTTGAGTACATATTTCACTAAAGAAAGATAATGGAGATGCCCAATAAGCACACGAAAAGATGCTTGCCATCCTTAGTTACTAAGAAAATGCAAATAAAAATCACAATGACATTTTCCATGCCTACTAGAATGGTTATAATAAAAAAGACAATTAAAACTATTGAGGAGGCAAAGAAACTAAAACTCGGTATTACAGGTACAAATGTAAAAGGGTACAGCCACTCTGGAAAGCAGTTGTAAAGTTTCATAAAATAGCGAACATTTTGTAACTGACAACTTTCCTGAATTTGTTTCTCTGCTCAAACAGTTTTTTTGGTAGAGTCTTTAGAGTTTTCTGTATGTAAGATAATGTCATCAACAAACAGAGACAATTTCACTTCGTTCCTATTTGGATGACTTTTATTTCTTTTTCTTTCCTAATTGACTCGAGTACTATGTTGAGTAGAAATTGTCAAAGTGGACATCTTTTTCTTGATTTTGATTTTAGAGAAAAAGCTATCAACTCTGCACTGCTGAGTATGATGTTAGCTGTGGGCTTATCATACATGGTCTTTAATGTGTTGACGTCCATTCCTTCTACACCTATTTTGTTGAGAGTTTTTATCATGAACAATGTTGAATTTTATCAAATGCTTTTTCTGCATCTATTGAGATATCATGTGATTTCTGTTCTTAATTTTGTTACTGTGGTAATCACATTTATTGGTTTACATATGTTGAACCATCCTTGCATCCCAGGGATAAATCCCACTTGATTGTGGTGAATTATCTTCTTAATAATTGTTAGATTTGGTTTGCTAACATTTTTGTGATGATTTTTTCATCTGTGTTCACTAGGGATATTGTTCTGTAGCCTTCTTTTTTATAGTATCCTTGTCTGGCTTGATATCAGGGCAATGCTAGCCTTATAAAATGGGGTTAGAATTATTCCCTTTCTCTTTCAACTTTTTTGGAAGAGTTTGAGAAGAATTGGTATTAATTCTTCTGTAACTCTTTGGTAGAATTTATCAGTGAAGTCATCAGGTCCTGGTTTTTTTTGGGGGCGGTTACCTTCTTATTACTGATTTAGTCTCCTTACTTGTTGTTGGTCTGGTCAGATTTTCTACTCCCACACTGCCAACAATCTATCTAAAAAAGACATATGCACACGTGTGTTTATTGTGGCACTATTCACAATAGCAAAGACTTGGAACCAACCCAAATGTCCATCAGTAATAGACTGGATAAAGAAAATGTGGCACATATACACCATGGAATACCATGCAGCCATAAAAAAGGATGAATTCATGTCCCTTGCAGGGACATGGATGATGCTGGAAACCATCATTCTCAGCAAAGTAACACAGGAACGGAAAACCAAACACTGCATGTTCTCACTCATAAGTGGGAATTGAACAATGAGAATACATGGACGTAGGGGAACATCACACACCAGGACCTGTAGGGGGTTGGGGGGCTAGGGGAGGGATAACATTAGGAGAAATACCTAATGTAGGTGATGGGTTGATGGGTGCAGCAAACCAGCATGGCATGTGTATACCTATGTAACAAAACTGCACATTCTGCACATGTACCCTAGAACTTGAAGTATATATATATAAAAAGAAATTAAGAAAATAATTTTATTTACAATAATGTTAAAAAATACTTAGGAATAACTTTAAGAAGTTAAAAGATCAAACATTGAAAAGTGTTGACCAGGCACGGTGGTTCCTACCTGTAATCCCAGCACTTTGGGAGGCCAAGGCAGGCAGATCACTTGAGGTCCGGAGTTTGAGACCAGCCTACAACATGGTGAAACCCTGTCTCTACTAGAAATATAAAAATTAGCCAGGCGTGGTGGCAGGTGCCTGTAATCCCAGCTAGTTGGGAAGCTGAGATGGGAAAATCATTTGAATGTGGGAGAATCACTCGCACCCGGGAGGCGGAGGCTGTAGTCAGTGGAGATTCACCACTGCACTCCAGCCTGGGTGACCGAGTGAGACTCTGTCTCAGAAAAAAAGAAAACTATCAAACATTGATGAAAAAATTGAAAAGAGACACAAATAGGCCGGGTGTGGTGGCTCACGCCTATAATCCCAGCACTTTGGGAGGCTGAGGTGGATGGATCACAAGGTCAGGAGTTTGAGACCAACCTGACCAACATGGTGAAACCCTGTCTCTACTAAAAATACAAAAATTAGCCGGGCGTGGTGGCATGTGCCTGTAATCCCAGCTACTCAGGAGGCTGAGGCAGGAGAATCACTTGAACCCTGGAGGCGGAGGTTGCAG